TACAAAGTAATTAAGGATAAATTAGGAAAGTTAGCATTGTGTTTTCAAGTGAAGAAATTTTCATTCAGTAGTAATATGAGAATAGCCAAAGTCCATTGAGGCTTAAAGGTGAAGGTGGGGGCTAATATTAGTAATTTGTATTTATTTTCTTGATAGCTTTTATATAAAATACTTTCCACTGCCTTTTTTATTTTTATAAGACCTTTTCTAAGCCAAGATTGAACATCTCTCAGAACTAGAAAAGAGTTGCCCTACCTTTAGAAATAAGTTCCTAAAACCTGGATCATGGAACTTATTATGCTTTTCTCCTAGCAGATCTCAAGGGATCTTTAAACAGCAACAGAGAATTTATGCTGCAAATGAAGATTTGAACCCAGAGCCATTTCTTTCAAGTGTCAAAGTTTTAATCATTCACAGTCAGTAATACCAGCAAACCAAATGACAGAAAGATAACTCGAGAGGACAGAGATCCTTTGTGTTCTAACTGAGATAAACCTGTTTGTTTACTGAACTGTGAGATGCTGTAGCAGGTATCTTAAGATTTTCTGGTACAGTTAGAAAGCAATATTTTTTATAAGACTAAGGATATGTAATTTCCTGATTCTGTTGGAAAGTCATCTCAGGAGATAAATGTAACAATCTTTTTCGCTGAGATTCATATCACTACTGGTTAGCTGCTAAGTGGCATGGTTGTACTGTTTTGAAGAGAAATATGGGGTTAATAAATTGATGCTTGGAAGTAGCATTAATTCAGGGACAAATAATTTTTGGATGTGTTGATGAGAGTCCTAAGTAATATTGCTGGATTCTATGGGGTCAGCTCCTGGAGTTAGGAAGAACAGAATTTAGAGACATCTACTGAAATTATTCTTTCAAAGATTCCTGCACTCACTTTTGTGCCCCATGAGCCAAAATAAACACAGATTTGTTCTCTACTTTACAATGTGCTCTTTGGTGCTGGCTGCAGGTGACCTGGCTGCATTCAAAAAGATAAATAAATGCCCAATGGAATGGGTATCCCATGTCCAGAAAGTTTCTTTATTAAGGTTTGCTTTGATGTAGGCATGAGTAATTGGTATTTTAAATAATTGAATTTTCAGTGTTTATCTTAGGAGCAGTGTGTTTGTTGCCTGTTATGGCAGAGGTGAGATGCTATTGCTGATGCCTGATATGGAGGGACTTCCATGGTGTTTCTACTCTGGTGTGTTCAGTAGTGGCTTGTGCAGAGCCTCTCCTTGACAGACCACACGCAGCTCCCTGGAGGCACCACTGAGACCAGGATGGCTTTAAATGATAGCTGCCATCGTGCTAAATGACATTGGAAAGTGAGAAGCTGAAAAAACCCTTAGCTGCTGATTTGTGACATAGTTATCCTTCAAGGCAGGTCATGACAAGTTATTGAGGGATATTAACCTGGCAGCTAATGCCCACGGAGGAGCACAACTTTGGCATTAATCTTGTTTTGTGGCTTTTGTCAGTGTGGCATAAAGGTAGGTGTATTGTAATTGATCTCCAAGCCAGAAAGGAGATGTTAATATGTAGCTGGCACCAGAACAGTCAAAATGAAAACCAGTGGAATAATAGAGAATTCTTTGTTCACCTAGGGAAAGATTTACAACTTCCTCAGCCAACTGAGAACACAACATTATTATATTGTCAAATCTTAGTAATTTTGCACTCATGCGTAGAAAATCAACTGTGAATCACCAGATAGCCTGATAAATTCAGATCCACTAAATGACTTGGAATGGTTTTAGACACCCTGTGTCTAAAAATTGCAGTTCTCAAGACTCCTATTTAGCTCCCCTCTAACTCCAGCAGCGCCTATGATTTTGCTGATATTCTTTACTGTGTCTCGCATACTCAGAAGTGCCTTAGCCTTGATAGAACCAAGTCTCTATTTTATGTCCACACTCCACCATTATCCACACATCAAATATCAGTATAGCCTTTGGGTCTTGTTGCAGTTCAATTTCTCAGGCATGTGCTGTGTGCTGCACAAGAGCTGGCAAAAAGAGTAATTTTTTTCTCAGGCCACAGCTTCTGTGGGTGACAGTGTCCCCAGACTGGTAGTGTCTGCTGTGCAGCCAGTGGGTTGGTGGTCACAGCATGTTTCCAGACCTGTGTCTCCTCTGCCTGGAGCATTGGGACTGCTCTGTGCAGCCAGGAGTGAGGGAAGTTGAGCTCATTGAATCCCTCCATCTAAGACTCTGTAACAAAGAAAGAAAAGAACTATCAGAGTTATGATATTTAAGCACATTTCTGTATTATCTGAAGCCAGACCCTTGATTGGTAGATTCCTTGGATTTTAGCACACTGGAAAACAATTTAGGCCAGTGTGGGATGGAGGTCTGGCCCATAATTTTTCACAGTAATGAAATCCCAGATGTCAGATGTCCCTTTTGCTTGTGTTGTCTTGGCTGAAAAAGAGATGATGACTCACAGTGAGTTTGTAGGCGACTGAGCTATAGGATAGCAGGAAGAGAGTCAATGCCAGTAAATCAGAAAACATGGATGGCCAAATGTGGCTGTAAATGGGAGTTCTGCACTTGTTCTCACAGCACATTTGGTGGTGAGGCTTTAATTCTTTTTAAAACATCAGTGCAGGTATCCCATATTTCATGTGAAATAGCAATCTGTAATTGTGCCTCTCTAGGATTTTATATGGATGGATAAAATCCTGATCCCTAGCACAGGATCAGGGCTGTAATGGACAAACCTCACTTTCCAGGAAGCACTTTCTCCTCTCCCTCCATCAGGATCATAGATTCACTCGGTGACGCCTCTTTGACATTTGCTCTCTGAGATCCCACACTTCTGCCTCTGTTATGCATGATGTGGTAGTAGAGTCAAATTAATGCAGCTCTCAAGCCCAAACAGAGCCTAATGTCTTCTTTTGTAAAAGCAGGTTATAATTTTTGTTACCTACCCCATAATTTTCAACCTATGAACATCTTCCCCTTAATTCTATTGTATCAGCTATTACACACATTAGCTGATTTGCATGCTCTGCCAAGCTGAACAGAGAAGACTCAAGTCTGCAGGTCACATTTATTAGCTAAAGCAATACTCCCAAGGTATATGTTTGCTCAATTTTTCATCTTTAAATAGACAGGACTGCCCAAAAATTGAACATACTTGTCTAAGAAGGAGAGGGGAGTCATTAAAGGCACTCATGATGTAGCAGTGATTTCAGGATAGCTTGTCATGTATTGATTTTCAACCATTGGGAGGAAATAGTGATATTTTTGATAGTGTTATGTGAAGAAATGTACATAGTTTGTCAAACTATCCATTTAGCTTTCAGTGGTAATCCAATCCCTAGGTTTCCAGTGTCTGAGAATTAATTATTTACAACAGTTTTTATTTTCTCCTAAACAACATTCTTGGTAGAAAATCAAAAGGTAATTTCTAGTTATAGGAAGCAGGACTGAATCAGGTCTAGACCTGTAGAGATTCCAGCTTGGCACTGTGACTTCTGATCCTTAGTCTTGGCTTTCTCTGCCCCAAGCTCCTGATCTACCTTCGTGTCTGGAGCCAGCAGAGTGGTGACCTGAAACCAAAGGGGGGTCACACCTGGGCATGATCGAGGTGCTAGAAAAGCAAAGAGCAAGTGAGATGGGAGAAGTCTGAGAAGCAGTAAAGTAGAATTCTTTGCAATGTTTTCCTAAGAATCGAGAAATTCACATAATATGCAACACTTACTGGCTGATATTTTACTATGATGATGTTTTTCCTCAGCAATAACAGGATGACCACTGATAAAAAGCAGCTACACTGCTAGGTTGATTATGCTATTGGGTGAGAAGAGTTGACCTTGCCCTGGTGTTAGACATGTAGCAAAATCAGTACAAAACCAGGAAAAACTAGAATTGCAGTTTGTTAAATTGCTGTTAGGAGGTAGTTTTAACTATTTAAACTGCTATGGGAAGTGTGCCTGCTCCCTCTGAACCTATGTGCACCTGTACTGAAGTTCTAAGCCTTAATGCTGGTACCAGGGATCCATGAAGGGGATCTGTGATCCCTTTCTCAGTCCCTCTATAGATCACCCTTGATACAGCCACAGGCTGAGGGTGTCCAGCTCCTGCTGCCTCAGGCACTGGCTGGGGAGCCTACTGCAGGCACCATATGACATGGTTCCCTTCCACATAAAAGACAATCAACTCTCAACTGCTCTAATATGTAACCATTTAGTGAAAAAAAACCAAACAAACAAATGCTGTGTCAGAAGCATGAAGAGCAGGCAGATAGTCTCTGAAATGCTGAAGGGAAATTACCCTGGTATTTTCATCAAAATATGAAGCCATCACTGAGTGAAATACTTTATGTTACCTGTGATACATGAATTTAAAGATGTTTTTCCTTTAGGAGGAAGAAATGCTGTTCATTGTCTTGCAGTTTTCAAATGGTTCTTTTTTATAAATCAGTATTAAGATGGTGTGAGTGTGTGTTTTGTCACTGAGTTACAGATTTGTGTACTGATAAAAGAAGAGCACTATAGAAAAGAAAAAAGTGTCAAGTTAGGTCATAATGAGCTTGTACAATGGTTTTCTTGAATTTGATAGAAGCTAGAATAAGGTAATGAATAACAAAATGTGTTCACATAAAATTCCATTGGTGTTCAGCTGACTGGGTTGCTTCTTTTGGTTTTGATGAAATCCAGAGGTAGTAATACATGTGTGTTTACCAGACTTCTTGTAGATAAAAGAGTCTGTCAGATGCAGCAGGAAAAGGATTCTTGGATTGTAACAGTGAAGATGGCCAAGCTTCCCGTGACTTTGCTACGGCCAGGTTTTTGTTCTTGGGCTCTGTATAGCAACTCACCATGGAGAAATTAGCCAGGAATCTTTATTTCCTTTCCCTGTCAGGCAAACAAGGTGCATCATGATATTTTAATCAAACCTAAAACATTCAGAAGGAATTTGCACTAGTTAATGCTTGTGTTACTACATAACATGAATTCCCTTTTACTTGACCTTTTCTATAATATTTATCCCCAGGTCTGCCATTGGGAAGCTGGGAGTAGAGGCATTCGAGGCGGTGTACAGCTGCCTCAAGCAAGCGAGACAGCAGAATGCCAGCGAGGAGGAGATCAGGAGCTCTTTGGAGAAACTGGTTTCTAGAGCAAGTGATTGCTTTGAAGTGGATCAGCTGCTGTACTTCGAGGAGCAGCTACAGGCTTCAGAGCCTCGTCTCCAGCTGTAGCAGCGTGTCAGCAGCAGCTGGGAATGGCCCAGAGGGGGAAGAGGCCTCCCTCAGGCCAGCAGGCAAATACAGGAGGTGTTTGGAGGACGCTGCTTAGGGTAATGTAGTACATAAGCATGTGGGTAAGCTCCATTTGAGAGTCCAGACTGCAGTGAGAAGTGGGTAAATGTGGCACAAATTTCAGGGGCAGGAAGAAGAACAAATGTTTGTGACAGTGGAGGGAGGATTCACAGTTACCTGTCTCCCCTTCTTCTGCCACTTAAAGCAAATTAAGGGTGTTCTGGGCCATGGAGGGACACCAGTCTTGCACTTAGAGTTTCAGTGGCAAAGCTGCCTTTGATGGAATGACACAGGATTAGACTCCAGCTGCTGTTGATTTCTGTGCTGTCTCATCCTTGTGATACTTAAGCCCATAATTTTTGTAATTTGGCAGATTTATTCTTAAACATGTATGTATATGTATGGCCACTCAGCCCCTAATTGTCTTCTTATTATTGATTGTTCAAAAGGGCTGTGTTTAATCTGAGTTTCAAAGGAATTGTGGACATACATACTTATGTGCCTATTTATATACATATATGCATGCTCACATACACAGAGATAGGAGTGTATATTCATAATGGCAGAAGAATGTCTGGTCATACACTGTATTTGTCTAAAGAGTTTTGGATTAAATTCATTATTCAAAAATGGAACAGTAAACTGATTTTTTTGTGCCTTGCACATTGCTACTGTTAATGTTCTTTCTTGGTGTTTATGCTCCCCTCTTTACATGCATCCCACTCCTGCTGATTTCAGCTATCAGGCTCTGATTATATACTTAATGTTTTCCTTCTACCTCTTCCTTCCTTATTCTGCATTCTGAGCTTCTTCCTCCATCTGTGTAAAAGTCTAAAGGTTAACAAAGTCATACGATTGGTAAAGGAACCTAAACTGAATTGTAGACCAAATGAATTTTAGGCATTGAGCCATTATCATAATCCTTATGCTTCCTGGTTTTCCCCCACAACTCTTAAAGGACTTTGAAACTGTACTAAATACATTAGAAGAAATTAATAATACAAGTATCAAAAAAAACATTTCTATTTGACCTGAGTTATTTACAGTGAAGTATACCAGTACTGATGGTCAATTAAGCAGTGCTACTGATTCATTTTTATGACATATGTTAAGAACAAAGCAAAAGGCGAGAAGAGTCATCTAAATCTATTTTAGCAGCAGCATAAGCTGAGGAAGCAAAAGGCACATCCAGCTACAGATGATGTGGCATTATACCTTCAGCTCAAAGGAGTAAGAGATTCTGGTATGTTTCAGCTTTTTTTAGCTTTAGCTTTTATTTAGAATACTTGATGTTACAAGCCAGAGACTGAAGTCCACTATGATGTTCACTGAGGTAGGGAAATATATTTGTTTGTCAGGTTTCAGTCTCTCTCCTATTACTTCTTCTTGACTTGCACTCCCCATCCTTCTCAATGTTGTGTAGGTGTGCCTGATTCCATATTTTCTGCACATAACTTAAGACCATTTTAAAACAGAAGTCCTGAAGTTTGAGATACAGGAGGATTGCTTGCTTGCTTGTTGCAGGGACTTCAAAGTCCAAAAGCAAACAATGAGTAATTGACACAGTGAGAATAATGTCAGAGGAAGATAATCTTCACTCCTTCTTTTACCTTTGCTGCAATTCAAAGTGATTTAACAGAAAAACTTCAAAAACAGCCTCTGTAAGCAGTCAGTGCCTTTTTTATTAGTGACAAAGATTTCTTCAACCTTTTTTCCATGCAGCTTGCAAGAAAAAATACCTGGCTAAGAATGGGTCAGGCTCCTTAAGGCAGTCAAGGACTCAGATGGTCATTAAAGGGAAACCTTTAAAACCTGAAAAACACAGTTTAGTCACTCATGACTTCATGGAAATGGTTGCTCTCTGATGAGCAGTATTTCTTTTTTCATTTGTTGCACAGGAAAAAAAACTCACAGTGCCTTTTACACTTACTTAGTTGCTTTCTGCTCTCTGCAGGGAATGACCTTCAAGGCACGTGAGGATCTGGAGGTTACTGGTTTACTGCTTGTATGCCTTAAACCATACTTTGTTTCATTTTGTGGGTTTTTTACATGAATCATACCACAATTAGCCCACATTAAACACAGCAGGAAATTTTTGCCTTTGAGCTGTAGTAAAAGCACAGAAGTACATCCCATGGATTTGACAGAAATTTTACATTACTGTTTGACTTGCAAAATCCCATTGCCGGTGGTCATTAGTAAAAACCTAAAAGTAAGGAGGGGGATTGTTGATATCGTAGATCTTCAGTAATAATAAAGCAACAGAACTGCTGGAAGTAAATATGAGGAAATAAATGTAAAGGCATTGAGTTGCTGGGCATAAATCTTCATAAAAAGTCCCATTTAACCTACATAATTGTACCAAAAGCTTTGCAAGCATGAGGCAACCTTGCTGCCTTTTTTATTGATTCTCTTAAAAATGTTACAAGATGAATTGCTTGATGAAGAGATATTGAAAACAAAGGAAATGGGGTGAGTATTTTCTTAATGCTTTGAGGCCTTAAACCTGGTATAAAGGTGCTTAACTATAAAGGGGAAAACAACATCTGAATTTTCTGATAAGAGGTATAGCTGTCGGTTTCTTGTCGACAGCTGGATTAGGAGGCAAACCAATTCTATTTTTCACAGCAAACAAAAAGGAAACACTGTCTTAGAGGTGATTCTTCTGCTGGATAATTTCTAGAAAGCATCAGAATGCCCTCTCTGCAAGATGAAATAGAGGTTTCCATGCCTGAAAATCCTGCCTGCAGGAAACGACCTACCTCCCTCGTGGATCTGGCTTTGTGGCTGTTGCCCTGTGGTGACCAGCTCAGAGGTGCTTCCACAGCCAAACCACAAACCTGCACCTGGCACAGCAGGAGCTCACCCCTGGCTGCTGCTGCATCTCCAGCTCCCCACATAACCAGAGCAATGGAGCATCAAGCAGATACACAGGTGAAGAAAAGGGCAGGAGGCAGCAGAGTGGCCATATGGATAATGCAAAGGCTGACCTTTTATCTCTGGTATAACTCAGTTCGGACTGACCTGTAGGTGCAACTACTGTTATCTGAGGGGATTTAGTGGGCAAGAGAAGAAAGGCTCAAACAGGATCCTGTTTGGAAACAGGATCAATATTCACAGAGGCACATTTATCTTTCATATTTTGTTTGTAATATTTGTGCACAGCACAGCCTAACTTGAAAACTCCTTAGCCTGTCTCTACTGAATAATCTTGTTTTTCAGGAGGGAGAAGTCCAGCAGAAAGTTTCTGCATGTGATTATTGGTAGTAACTAGAAGTCTAATGAAAATGCAGTCTCCAGATGGTGATTTGACTGATGATTATTCCTGTTCAGGCATATGTCTGCCTTGGTAATAACTATCTAGATGTGCTGGATATATGCACATAAGAAGAGCTGGTTAACAGCAAAGACAGATGTATTTATGTACAGATTGGTCAGGCACAGAGGGTGGGCAAGGGACAGAATAGGATGAGGAGGATTGTAAGTTCCTTCCTCTTATGCCTTCTCCTCATATACTTAGTTACCACATGCAGTCCTACTTATTTTTGTCACTTTTTTATGGTTGGGGGAATAAAGGGACAGTGAATGGCCTTTTCTGAAAGCCACTGAATTATCTAAAATGAGACAAAGAATTAAAACCTAACAAGAAACCTTGATGTCTGGTCGCAGCAAGAGAAGACCATGTAAATGCTTCTGATTCCATAGAACTATGGGTCCAGTATTCTTTTATCTGGGTTGGACTATGGGCAGTATGGCTGGGAAGTTAGTTAGAGTTTACAGATAATTTTCCCTGTTAGCTCTGCAGACAATCCTCAGTTGCTCATGAATGGTTAACTACAGCCTCCTGACTTCCAGTATTCTCACACTGTACAGTTGGTCACTTCCCCATCAGGTCAGAAAGCAGAAAACAGGTCCTGAGAAAACTTCCAGCAGAAAGAGTTGAGGAAAACAGACATTTAGTCAGCTGGTTTAAAAGTACACCCCTTGGGTAAATATTTTCCATTCCACTTGATGACACCTGGCCAGGGATTTCCAACGATTTGCAATGTGCCAGAAATACACACACTGTGATTATCATCCCATAGGTGAAATGGGCTCAGTTTTGTTGTAATTTTTATTATTACATATGTAGCTGTAACAAAGTACAAAGGCAGTGGTGTGCAAACAATAAGAAAAAATACCTCTGAAGAAAAATGGCAAATGAAAGAGGTTACTGCTTTGTACTCATTAACTGTCCTACGCATTGATATATTTTAACATCCAGAAACTGCAGTGTCTTAGGGAGCCTAAGAATGTTGTATTTATGTACATGTACCTACACAGAGAAATGAATTGTGACTTTCTCATGAACTGTCTCTCCATCAGTCCTCTCTCTCTACATCTAGGCATGCACACAGAAACATATTTATATATGGGCATGTATAGATCCTGATGTACAGCGCATCACCAAACCTTCAAGAATACGTTTTCTCTCCTGATAAACAAAATATCTGCCAGCTGCTTCAAAAATTCTTATGAGCAGGTAAATGCACAGCTGAATCCACCTTGAGCAGAAAAAAAAAATAAAAATTAATGTTTTGATCAGGTACTGCACCAGGCACTGTACAAAAGAGCTCCAAGGAATCCCAACCTCCCGGGCCTCCCAGCTGAATTGTCCAGCAGGAATATGATGGTTCAGAGAAGTAACCTGAGCTTATGTAGCAAAGTGCAACAGGAAGCCAACCAAGGTGAGCACTTCTCCTGATCCTCACCTGATTCTGTGCCAAGCAGTCAGTGGTGGCTTGTGGGTACCAGGGTAAGGCAAGGCATAAAGGATGATGCAGTGTTGTGAAATGAACTTTAATACAAAAAACCCCCAGTGTTTAATGAAATATGACTCTGTGACTGTGCAAGGAAGTGTGTTTATGTGATGGACTGTTAATGAGGTGATTCTGTGCCAGAGCTTTCTGCCCTAGAGGTGACTGAGTACTATGAAGAAGCTGGGAATCTGTGAATTGCTCTCCTCTCTCCATTGCCCTCTGCTGATCCCTCAGAAACTGCCTTATGTACCATGGTGTGCAGATATTCCCTTGGGCTGTGTTATTTCCTCTCAGCATCTCTGAGTTCCAGTTCAGATTTTTTCAAATGGAAGTCTTTCTGGTGGAGGCTGCTCTATTGGTCTGTGTCTATAAAGGGTCAGCAGTGTGAGAGTGGTCTTAAATAATGCATTGGAGTTTCTCCCTCTGCTCTCAGTGAGTTCTGGAGAAATGCTCCATAGAACTGCTATGGAATCTTCCTAACTTGACTGTCTCACTTGTCCTCTTTCCTCCCCAAATCCTCAAGGACAGAAAGCAAAGCAAACTCAAGGTGCTCAGTGTGTAGAATAGATGCTGTTATTTAATGTCCAGGGGCAATCCTTTAAATCAAGAGAGGCTGCTTCTCTTGTTTTGTAAGACAGTTTTTGAGTGTGAGCATTATTTTATTGATACCTTTAGGCATCTGACAATCAGTGGTATACTTTTGCTACCCTGTTTCTGCCAGTGAGTTGTTTTTTCCGCCACCCCAAAATGAAGCCTACTTGTTTTGAATGCTCTTTTGGTAGGAGCTTGACTCCTGAAGCTGACAGTGAATGCTCCTGACTCCCTAGAGGTCTAATTTTGCCAGTTACTGATGTGTGCCCTTCT